GCAGGAGGGGAAAGGCTCCTGCTCTGTGAGAGGCTGTGCAATGTCACTGGCAGCATAGGCCAGTTCTGGACATGCTCTTCATGTCTAAGGAACAGTCATGGCTGAAAGCAGGCTGGGGAACAAAGGAGCTAAGCAGCTGGGCCAGTTGTAGCTCCCAGAGGGGTGGAAATAAGAGTCTTCAGTGCCCAACTGCTCTTTAGGTTTGAGAATTGAAGCAGAGAGAAGTCCCATGGCATTGGTTGCTGGACTTTTCCTCTTGGCTGAAAGAACCAGAACAATTTGGGTACAGGGAATATGTAGAGCCTCTGTGGTTATTTGAGCACATGAAGGGCACTGGCTAGATACCCCTGAGAAGTGTTCCTCTAGTAGCTGTCCATGTGCTTGTGCTGGGGAATTGGACAGACTGATCAAGAGCCAGGCTAACTATGCATTATCTGTCCCTTTTCCTTTTTTTGTCCTGCTGTCTCGTCCTCCACCAAGTCCCCTCTCCTCTTCCTGCTCAGATGGGTATCTCAGGGTTTTGCTTACCACAAGATACTGAGGTTGCAGAAAGGTTTCCTCAGCACCTCACACAGCAGCCTCACACCATCATCTCCCAGGTCGTTCAGCTGCAGGTCTAGCTCAGCCAATCTGGAGCAGTTCCTGAGTGCTGAGGCCAGGGTCAGACAGTGGCTGGATGTGAGGCCACACTTAACAAGCCTGCAAGAGAGACTCTCACTGTCAGCTTCTCCTGGGCTCAGTGCTCTTGGGTACTGAGCTCAGGATTTCCTTTGTGAGCCCTGGCATGCTGTTCTGGCAATGCTTAGCTCTCTGGGGTGCCTTTTCTGGCCTATGTGGGTAATTTCATGCTTCCCACAGCTGAGCTGCAGGAGCAAGGGAGTGCAGGTTAAGACCACACTGCTCTCCTGCCACTGGCCATGACAGAGTTCTATGAGGCCCAGGGCAGCTCACTGGCATATTTCAAGAGCCAATTGATGTGAAATTCACCAGACTTAGAATAGGGCATGAGATCACTAAAAAAATCTTAATAAACATGAAATCCATAGAAACAGAGTAGAAAGTTATTTACGAGGGTAGAGAGCAGGAGGAAATGAGAGACATGCCATTCCCTGCATCTGGAGCTTTCTTCCCTCATGTTTTTACTTAGCCTCTTCCTCTCTATTCCTTAGTTATCATTCTAGAAACTTCCACAGAAAGTTGGTCCACTGGAGCCTTCATGAACCTCATGTTATCATGTTAGCTGGTGGTGTTCCTTAATGAATGTCAATATTTCATGATCCCCAAGAATAGAATCCCATTTGTTTATCATAGCAAGTCAGACACCTGTTATAGATATGGTCAAAGGGTTCAGTGACTGTCTGATGAATACCAGTCCTCACCCTAGACTCAGCTTTTCCCTTTAGTCTCCTGCCATCCATGGTTTCAGGGGTGAACTCAGGCCAGACTCACCACAATGCCCTTAGATGGCAGCCAGGGTGTCTCAGGGTACAACAGAGACTCTTCACTGCAGAGTGGCTCAGGGGATTTCCACTTAGGTCCAGTTCCTTCAGGCTTTTGTTGTAGATAATGTTGGAAAAGAGAATAAACCAACTGGCATTAGTGGTTGGAGTCCACCTGGATCTGAGGGAGAGATAGAGATGGACATGAAGAATGTGACTCACAGCCCCACAAAAAAGATTCTATCTGAGCACCAGGCCTCAAAATACCATCCCCAGAATCCATAAGCCTCTCTACCAATTTATTTGCTCTAACATCTCAGTCTCTCATGTACATCCTTTAACATAGTATGTTGTGTGCTTGTTTTGTGTCTGTTTTTGCTTCAGTCCAGATGCCCCACAGGGGATCAACGGGTGTCTAGCTTTTCATCTAGAGTGCCCAGTACAAGGTCTGGCACGAAGAAGGCCTTCTTTCTTTTGATGTAAATGACTTACATTCATTTGGAGCAGAATTCTAGATTCTCATAAAGAAAAACTGGAAAGGGGAGGTGGGAAGAGAGCTAAGGAGAGATGGTTGAGCATGACCATGATGGTATGTTGGTCATTATCACAAATACTACACTAGATCTGTGTTGGTTTACATGGCTTCTGTATCCTTACAAAAACAGAGGAGCACAGACAAGGGAGAAGAGATTAGTCTGGAGTGGTGTGGTAGTGCATTTCTTTAATGTCAGCAATCAACCACACAAAGGGAGGAGAACAATGAGTTCTAGGCTAGCCTAACCTGAAAACTCCAAGGGGATGGGAATAGCTCTGTACTTGGTCTCTATTAAAGCCCCAGCACTATAGACAAAACAAAAAACTCAGAAAAAGAAACCACAACTCCCAAAACATTAAATATGACCAAATTTGAAACAAAAAGTATAGGATGCTTTACTACAAATTTACAAAACCAAAAAAGTTAAGGAAATCAAATACTAAATGTTGAAGAATTATATTTTTAAAAGCTTTATTTATTTCTTTGTGTCTATGATTGCATGCTTGCTTGGCTGTGTGTGCACTAAACGGATGTAGGAGCTGGCAGAGGTTAAAAGCAGGGCCTGGGATCCTCTGGGACTGTAGTTCAAGGTGGTGTGAGCCTTATGATTGGGTTCTAGGAAGGGATCCATGTCCTCTGCCGGAGCAGGGGGCTCTCTTAACTGTGGAAGCACTCCGCCAGCCCCCAAAGGATGGCGGTTTTGATGCATAGTTAGCATTTATACTGATTGAACGTGGAACTTCAGAATGTATTACTTAAAAAGCATTATGAACCACACACAGAGAAGTTGCTCATTCTGCTGTCTTTGATGCCATAATTTCCTGGTCTGGTCCTTTTCCTTCTCTTGGCTTTAGTGAACTCCAGCTCTGAACTGTTTTCCTTGTGTGCAATGGTCTCCTGCTTGTCTCTCTGTCTTGTCTGACATTTCCTTTCAACTTTCCCTCATCACTAGCAGGCAAAGCCTCTCACTTTCTCGTGGGGTAGTCCTAGGATCCTAAGACCATTGTACTTTTCAAGCAGGTTGGTGTTCTTGGTTTCTCTTGTCCTATGTGGCCTCTTTCTCTGTATATACTCAGAATTCTTCTGAAGGTCCATGTCAGACCACTTCTGGCAAGGACCTGTATCAAGGTCTTTTAAGGCTCACTTGTTTATAACCATAGACAATTATAAAAAACTTAAAATGACCAAGAACAGGAAAATGGTCCAATTGAGATGGTATTATACTAGACTTTTAGTACCTAGAGAAGACAGCTTGGTGCTTAAGGAAATAAATGTGAATATAAGATAACAGATAGTGTTGCTCAGTGTTCCCATAAAAAAGTACATAGATTCTAGAATAAAGGGCATACCATACATTTTCTTTCATGTTCTGGATCAACCTTAGTATCTTGGGCTTTCTAAGTGTGATGTTTCTAATGTGATGTCACCCACAGTCATGGGCATTAGAATGCTTGATTTAATTGGTGGTATGCTTTAAGGTGGCTTAGAAAGTGTGGCTTTGTGGAAGGAAATATGTCACTTGGGGCAGGCTTTAAGATTTCAAAGTCTTGAGCCATTCCCAGTACATTGTTTCTGCTTCCTGCTTGTGGTTCAAAATATGAGCTTTCAGCTGCTGCTCCAGTTAGCATCATTTCCTTCAGCCATGATGGACCCTGATCCCTCTGAAACCATGAGTCCAAATAAACTCTTCTATAAGTTGCCTTGGCCATGGTGTTTTATCACAGCAACAGAAAATCAACCAATATAATAGGCAATATCTCTATTGATGAGTAATATCTTCAGCCCATGATACAGTGTCACATATGCAGCCCAGGCTGGGCTGAGACTTCTGATCTTCCTCACTTCCTGATGACAGATGCACACAATCAAGCTTAGCTACTCCAACTCTTAATGCTGTCCTCTCTGAGAAATAGAATTCAGCTTGATACTAATTTTTTGTTGTTTCAATAATTGATACAGCCTCACTTTTTCTACAAGCATGTTTTAATTAGTCCATCCTAATCATATAAAGTCTTTGAGGCAACTTTCTACATGTGTGTAACACAGAATTTGATCAGATTCGTTCTCTTTGACCTTTTCTGCCTCTTCTCCTCATCTCCTTTCTGTTCTTTAACAGTCATTCTACTAGGTTAGGTCACTTAGTTATTCCATGGGCTTTTGCTTTCTTGTCCAAATTGGTATCAAAGTCCTGAAATCAAGGATTCTCCGCAATTTCAAGCTTATGCTAGGAAGTACAGCTCAGCTTATCGGGGAAGAAAGCTTTAATGTGTGAAAAACAAATAAAAAACAAACAAACAAACAAACAAACAAAGAAAGAAAAGACTCAAATAAGAGCATTTCTTCCTCTGAGAATTTCTCCCTTTCTGGTTCACTTAAGTGAACACTTCCTTCCCTGAAGTGTGTTCCTGATCATTTGAAAGTGTCATGCCTTGTATAATTAGAGTAGTTGGCTATCTTTTCTACCAGTTTTTGAGGGCCTCAGGCAGCAACTGTATTTTCCTCTTTTTATTGATTAGTAGGGCCTGTCATAAAATCAGTGTTAATAAATGCATAAAAAGTGAATCATCTGGAGGGGAGAGACACACACGTACTAAATGACCACTACGGCACAATTGTGGGGGTCCTGGAAAGGGAAATCTACCATGTTGCTGGGATTGGTAGGAAGTTAGGAACCCTTTCAGGTGAGTGCCAAGGCAGAATGCCTTCATCAACACATACAAGGTAGTTATCTAGGTGGTGAAAACAGGGATTATCATACATATGCATTCTGAGGTGATGGTGGAAACCCTCAGGGCCAAGGTCACTGTCATGAGAATAGGAGTTGGTGCCTGCAGTAGCTGAATGAGCAGTTTCTCAGAGAGAAAGCGTGTTAAGGGAGAGGATCAGTAACTATGGGGTGCTGGAACCTTGTGAAAATGATTTGAATGAGAGAAGGTGGGTGTCCCACCGAGGCATAGAGAGACAGAACTTCACAGCCCACCCCATGGTCAGGCACACAGAGGCAGCCAGAGAAGGGTGGTCAGATTCAGCAGCTGATGTCACTGATGACCTCTACCCTGATTTCTTGGAACCAGCTAAGCGTGCTTCCTGTGTTTAGAGCATGTGGGCTCGAGGGATCCACGGGGAAGCTGGAGAGAGGGCTGTGTCTGGATACTCACAGAACCAGGGTGGGGGCATTCAGCGTTGGTCCCTGTTGTCCATCCCTATTCAGCTGAAGCCTCTTTACGTAACGGCAGAACTTAATGCAGAAAGTGACCACTAAGAGCTCCACATTTGTCTGGATCACCAGATGCCTCACATTTGTCTGGAACACTGTGTGAGTCATAAATGTCGGATCATGCACCCTTTTTGAGAGAACACTGTGTATCACCTGCGTTACAAACTTTTTATTCTGAATCTCATAGAGGCAGTGAAACAACCCCAGAGAACAGAGGTGCTGGTGCTGGGGCAATGCTCTGGCTTTCCCCAGGAGTTCCCACGGTGTGAGCAGAGGCAACTGGCTGTTGAAGACTGTCTTCATCGCGTTCACTCCCTGCTCACTCAAAAGTCCAAACAGAAAATGTATGGTGGGTGCTTCAAATAAAGCATGTATTCCATATACTTCTATCAGTGTTTCCACAATTCTGTCCTTTTCTATATCACCACATCTCTCCACAGCATCCCTGAAGACACAGGCCATCGCTGCAAAGAACTCCTGGAGACACAAGTGGGCAAAGCTGCAGCTCAGAGAGCCGGGCTGCTGTTGAAGGACACCGATCTTCAGGAAAGTGGCCATGTCAGCCTGGGCTAACCCTTGCTTACGGAGGTCGCTTTCACTGAACAGGGTCCTTCTTCTGCAGATCCCCTCAGCAGCCACTGAGCAGAGAGCCCTGAGCTGGGTCTCCAGGTGCTGACCTTGGATTGACTGGGAAAGGTATTTCAGGCAGAGAGTGGTGGTGGTCTGTGAGGTCAGGGAGAGATGTCCTCCCTGCTCCATCTGCTGTGACAGGCAAGTGCAGACCAGCCAGCTCACCCAGGGAACCAGACACAGGGTCGAGAGCACTGGGTCTGATTGAACTAAACTAAAAGCTTGGATTGCTTTTCTTTTCTTAGGAAAATATTTGTTGAAATATTCCTTCCGTCCTGACTCAGAGAAGCCCAGGACTTCCACCCAACGCGGCCGCCTCAAGGAAGGAATGAGCCTCTGGAGAGCTGTGGTCCGAGCTGTGAGCAGGAAGGAAGCCCCCGGGAGAACGGATTTTCCCAGCAAACTGCCCAGGAGCATGTGCACTGGCTGTGTCTGACTCCAGTGCAGACACAGCTCAGGATTCTGCCCCTCCAAGACCCATGCTGGCTCATCTATGCCATCCAGGATGAAGAGTAGCTTCTCAGGCTGAGCCAGGATCTGCCTGATGGGAGCTGTGGGCACAGTTTGGCCCTGTGCTATGAGCTCTGCCAGACTCAGCTGCTGGCACTGGGCCAGCTCCCTGCAGCTGAAGAAGAAAACTTGCTGGAAGCGATCCCTGTAAAGCCGGCCTTGCCCCCAGGCTCTGCTCACATGCCTGGCCAGCGATGACTTCCCAGTCCCAGCAGCCCCATACAATATGACTAGCTGAGGCTCTTCCTGGGTACCCGGGCTTGGGGAAAATAAATCTTGGCTCTCAATCAGATGTCCTTTCTCTTCTGGTCCATATTGATGCCAGCTTTTCCTGACCAAGGTTTCCCAGCCTCTTGGGCAAGATTTTTCTAGGAGTAGTAGCTGTGTGAAATTTTTGGACAAAGTCTCCATTTTCAAGAACAGTGTGGGGTAAAGATTCTCTTTTTCTTCATTCTGATGTATTTCTGAAATGGTTCCTAAAAAAGGAAGAGAAAGATGGAACATAAATATACACTTTAGAGTTGTTTGTTATCCAATCCTTCCCTCCTTCCTTCCTTCCTTCCTTCCTTCCTTCCTTCCTTCCTTCCTTCCTTCCTTCCTTCCTTCCATCTTTCAACAACTAGATGAATTTAGGCATCTGTTTAAGCTGCATAGCATAAGACTGTGGGTGTTGCTATGTTCTGAACAGTGCAGTGCAGAAAATGTGTGTTTTAAAGTAGAAGATTCTAGTTTAAGTTTTCACTTGACTAATTAATAACATTCATTCATACTTCCCATATTTATCAGCCTCTTACCCTGTGCCAGACCTGCTCTTTGGGCTGAGAATATGGGGTGATTCAAGGGGTTCACTGAGCTCAGCTTTCCCATCTGTAATTTGGGGCTGGGGAGAAGTGGGGAGATTGCGGACAATGGGGCAGAGCCCACTGGTCCCCACCATTACCGTCTTGACAACATCACTCTGAAGTCCTGAGACTGTGGATCTCATGGGATGATGTTGGACTGCGGTAGAGTTTATTTTTCAGGTCTTAGACTTTGTCCCCTGACTTTTCCTTCATCCTGGCAACAACAGGCATATTTTGTATTGTCTTTCAGATATCTTGTTTGTGGCTACTGTTTGGATGTCTTTTGACCCTTCTGAAACTCATGTTGAAATGGAGTTGCTAATGTAGGGTCTATTGTGAGTGTTTGGAGGTCGGAGGTGGGCCACTTAATTATTGATCAATACTTTCCTTCTAGGAATGGACAAACTGCTGGGGAAAGGTGCCCCTTTTCTCCTTCAGGCACCTGCTTCCCTTTATACTTTTTCCCCTTTAAGCTGAGCAATCATAGTCTCCAGTCTTAGTCTTCTAGACTTCAGAACTATAATTAAATAACATGTTCTAAACAAACAAATAAATAAGCAAGTATAAAACAAGAATAACAAACTAGTCTCTCTTTTGTGTCCTGGCAATGGAAAACAAACTAAGACATTTGCTCCACAGTTTGCGATAGCATATGTTTCTGGGCTTCCCCTCTCCTGCCTTACTCCCCATTTCTCCAACCAGTGCATCTGAGGAGTCATCTCTCCAGTTTTTGACCTGAACATAAATCTTATCTCAGCATCTTCTTTGGAAGGAACTCAGATAATTCAAAAGAACCTTTGTAGGGAGAGAAATGAGCAGCATAATCACTGCTACAATATTATCAGTGGAGTCTTCCCTAAGCCCCATGTGGAAGGGACTTGCTATGTGAGATCTGCATTTGTTGTAGATGTGGTAGTGGAATGAATGGCGAGCAGTGCGAAGGCTCAGAGGATGAAAAGGAGACATTGAAATTCCAGTGACAACTGAGGGCGATGAAGTTTGACTCTGTTGTAAACATTTTCAAGGCTTCATGTGGGAGATGGACTTTGACAGAAAGAGAAGGATTGGGTGCACACAGACTTTCACAGACCAGCAAGATGAAGGAGGAAGAAATCATTTCCCAGGAATCAATGGTTCTAGATTCCAGCCCTGCATCTGTCACTATGTACTGTGAGCTTGGATAACTTAGCCTTTCTCTCTGGACCTTGCACACTGAAGAGAGGTGGCTATTTTGATGCTGGAGAAGAGGAAGAGGAAGAGGAAGAGGAAGAGTGTGGCCTGGTAAGTGAGAATGAAATAAGAGAGGTCAGTAAAAGAAACTGACTGAAGCTGAGGCAGGAGCCTATCCTCTTCATGCAGTCTATTTCAAGAGAAGGGACCTTCTTTTAGCACCAGGATCCCCTGGGATCTTCAGGCCCACTGCGATTCTGAGCTGAGCTCTGAGTGCCAGTTAGGCTAGGCTCACTGATGACCCACATGGGTTCCAGTTTCCCCATCTGTCAAATGCAAGTTCAGCACTGTAGAGCCCAAAGGGGTCGTTTCTGGCCTGTGACCCAGCACCTCACCACGGCTCCTTTGCCCTTGCATTTAAGTATTCTGTCCCAAGTCTCCATGCAGATGGAAGCTCACTGTGAAGAGCCACCATCTATGTGGACAATAACTCCCATTCACAGCTTTCAGGTCAGCTTACCTTTGCTTATGCACCCAGATGCATTGGGCTCCTCATTTGACATTTGAGAGTATCTCTGAGATTCATGGCTTAAGCTTAGTAGTTCTGGTGAGCTGGGCCGGCTAAGGGACTTCATACTAGGAGCTTCCATAGAGCCTGAAATGAGAACTGGCTATGAGAAGAAGACAGTTGTGTGCTTGTCAGAGAGGCAGCAGTAGGAGCCAGGGTAGCAAGCCTTGAGTCCTATGTGCTTACCCTTCTCCATGGTCACACGGGGGAGAATGAGGCATTCACAGGTCCTGCTCTGGGATCATGAAGGTCACACACCTGTCCTGGTTCTACCCCATCCTCATGTGAGTCTCTATTCCTGTCTGAGCCTCAGCTTCCTCATATGTAACTGTGAGCATCTGTCCCACAGGGTTGCAGACTATAATAACAGTAGTGGCAATCACATAGGCTTGTGTTTACAATTATTGAACATTTATTGACTCTGTTTAATATTCTATGTGGTTTATCACCTTACTCTCACACCTCAAGGAAACAGATTTTTATACTCTTTCCTTTTCACAGATGGAAACATGGAGGCAGAGGAATATAAAGTGACTTGTCCAGGGTGATAGGGCCAGGGATGGAGTCTGCCCCTGCTCAGCTCCAAAGTCTGGGTTTGTAACTCCAGTGTCATCAAGTGCTCCATTTGGGAGCTGGCTTGAACCCTGTGCCGTTCTGTAAGTCTGAGACAGTGCCTTGAACTCATTGGCACAGGAGACAACTTCCTGAACAGAACACCAACAGCACAGGCTCTAAGAGCAACAATCAATAAATGGGACCTCATGAAACTGAAAAGCTTCTGTAAAGCAAAGGACACTGTCATCAAAACAAAGCAACAGCCTACAGATTGGGAAAGGATCTTCACCAACTGTATATCTGACAGAGGGCTAATATGCAGAATATATAAAGAACTCAAGAAGTTAAACAGCAACAAATCAACTAATGCAATTAAAAAATGGAGTAGATAGCTAAACAGAATTCTCAATAGAGGAATATTGAATGGCAAAGAAACACTTAAAGAAATGTTCAACGTCCTTAGTCATAAGGGACATGCAAATCAAAACGACCCTAAGATTTCACCTTACACCCATCAGAATGGCCAAGATGAAAAACTCAAGAGACAACACATGCTGGAGAGGTTGTGGAGAAAGGGGAACCCTCCTCCACTGCTGGTGGGAATGTAAACTGGTACAACCACTCTGGAAATCAATCTGGCGCTTTCTCAGACAACTAGGAATAGTGCTTCCTCAAGATCCAGCCATACCACTACTAGGCATATACCCAAAAGAAGCTCAAGTACACAATAAGGATATTTGCTCAACCATGTTTGTAGCAGCCTTATTTGTAATAGCCAGAAGCTGGAAACAGCCCAGATTCCCCTCAGTGGAGGAATGGATACAGAAATTGTGGTACATCTACACAATGAAGTATTACTCAGCAATAAAAAACAAGGAAATCATGAAATTTGCAAGTAAATGGTGGGAACTAGAAAAGATCATCTTGAGTGAGGTATCCCAGAAGCAGAATGACGCACATAGTCTACACTCATTATTATAGACATATAATATAGGATAAACCTACTAAAATCTGTACACCTAAAGAAACTAATCAAGAGGGAGGACTCTTGCTAAAATGCTCAATTCCTATCCTGAAAGGCAAAGAGGCTGGACATCAGAAGAAGGAGAAAAGAGGGAACAAGTCAGGAGCCTGACACAGAGGACCTCTGAAAAGCTCTGCCCTGCAGACTATCAATGTAGATGCTGAGACTTATGGGCAACCTTTGGGCAGAGTGCAGGGAATCTTAGGAAAGAAGTAGGAAACAGTAAGATCTGGAGAGGACAGGAACTCCAAAAGGAGAGCAACAGAACCAAAAAAATCTGAGCACAGGGGTCTTTCCTGAGACTGATACTCCAACCAAGGACTATGCATGGAGATAACCTAAGACCCCTGCACAGATGTAGCCCATGGCAGTTCAGAATCCAAGTGGGTTCCATTGTAATAGGAACAGGGACTGTCTCTGACATGAACTGATTGGCCTGCTCTTTAATTTCCTCCCCATGAGGGGGAAGCAGCATTACCAGGCCACAGAAGAAGACACTGCAGCCACTCCTGATGAAACCTAATTGACTAGGATCAGAAGGAAGGAAAAGAGGATCTCCCCTATCAGTGGCCTTGGGGAGGGGCATGCATGCAAAAGGTGGAGGAAGGGAGGGATTGGGACAGGAGGAGGGAGGGAACCACAGGGGGGATACAAAGTGAATAAAGTGTAATTAATAAAGAATTTTAAAAAAGAGCCATTCTGAATGCCAGCCTCTCCCCACTACTACAGTTTTCAAGTACTTCCAAGAGCCATTGAATTGGGGAAGTTGAGTAGGCATGTGAGCTTTCTGGAAGGTAGTTTGGTATTTTGCAAGGTCTGTATTGTGATGTACCCCAGAATTACTTCCATCCTCTGATATCTCTGCTTTTCTGTACTGCCGAGTCTCTCAAAAAAATCTTACATGGTGTGAAATCTCACTCTCAGAGTATTTACCCAGATTGAATAAACCTTCTATGGGATCTTTATGAAGATGTACTGCCATTCAAATGAATTAATTCCTGATAATGGAATTCCTGATGAGATTCAAACAATTTTAGAAGTTCAGAAGGAAGGAAAAGAAGACCTCCCCTATCAGTAGATTTGGGGAGGGGCATGCATGCAGAGGGTGGAGGAAGGGAGGGATTGGGACAGGAGGAGGGAGGGAACCACAGGGGGGATACAAAGTGAATAAAGTGTAATTAATAAAGAATAATAAAAAAAGAAGTTAAAAAGTTGAACAGTTGTTAGAAACTTTATGACTGCAATAATACCGTTGTAAACTTCCAGATGCCTCACTAGGAGACAAGCCTCGCGACAGATTTGTGCCTTCAGATAAGCTTTCACTGTAGAGATGGGACCACAAATCCTGGTGTGTACCTTAAGTATACACAAGTTGGTTTGAACTTCCTATGAACCCAGGAAAAAATGGGGCTACCAAAAAAATCTCAAAATTAAGTACAAACCTTACTGTCAAAAAATACAAACTTTTTTGTTGTAATTCCTTATACCTTCATAGCTTACAGCATAAAATACTGTCATTCTAAAGTTACTTTGTATCTTGGAATGTAAGACTAGATGAAGAAATGTTTAGCTTAATACCAAAACAAGCAACTACTAAAATCCCTTCCATTGTGATGTGCTACACCCAAGCCAGTGTTGCCATAGTAGCATGTGCTACAGGGCGGGGGATACGCTTTCTTCAGAAATTCCCTCCCTGGAAGGTCCCTGGCAGACTCATCCCACTTGGCAAAGAGACGTATTCTGAGATTTCTGTGCTTTTCGGGCGCGGTCTTGGGAATGGAATTTTGAATTCTTTGATCTTTCTCTGTGACTCCTGAAACAGCACAACTAATTTTATAAAGAAATTTATTACTAGTAGATTATTAAAAGCTTTAACAAAAATAAAATGTAAAATAAATAGGTTTAAGAAAAGTAATGAATTAGATTTGGTATTAATAGGCATTAAGAATAGTGAAAAAATAATAGGCTCCTTCTTAAGAAAAAATAGCATGGGAGGTGCAGCTGGCGGGAGTTTCCCCTCCCTTCAGTGCCTTGTTCCTAGGAATGATCGTAAATCTTTAGCAGGACATATGGGAGGATGGTTAACAAAGGTGTAGTTAGATTTTGATATAGAGAAAGATTTTGGCAGGCATCTGACTTAGCTCCTGACTTCCTCTTCACTGGTTAGCAATAATGAAACTACATTTGAGGTTTCTTTTTCTTTGTTTGCTCTGATCAAAAAGTTTTTAGGCCAAGATTTCTTGTGGGCACTGCTTTTTGTTTGACTACATTTTGAGTTAAAATGTAAACTTTGTATTCTTGGTAAAAGTCTGAATGTTCTGGGAAGCATGCCAATTTTAAGGTGCCTTTTGTATAAAAATACCAGCTTGATTTCAGTAAAGTTGCAGCAGAGTCAAAACCATCAAGGTGTCTCTGTCTGTCAATTCATCACCAAAACTGTGTCTTCCTGTCCAAAGCCTTGTTCTCCCTCGGACACCGGGAGCCCGACTGGGCTGGTCTGTGGCAGTGATGGTTTTATCTGTGTCTGTAATAAATTCTTTTGACTATGAGGTAATTCTTTCTCTGAAGTAGAGAGCATTTGCTCAGAACAATAAAGTCTGTTGGGGCCAGTCGCCTCATCCATTTTCTCTCTTGAGTGTTTGGGTGGGTGAGTGCTCTATTCTGTTTCTCTCTTATTTCTTATTCCCCTGTAGAGTCACAAATAAGCTAACTGACTCAAAGCTCCACCATTAGCAGGAATATGGGAGATCTCCACTAATTTACAGATCAAAGAGCCTCCTCTTACAATCTGTAGTTTTTGGCTAGAAGCTGCTTTTCACAGCCCTGGCTGCAGAAGAAAATATGTGTGGGGGGTCAACTTAAGTACTTTTCGGAGGCATCACAGCCAGCCCACAGCTAGCCCTGGGAGAAGAAACCCTTGGTTCCCTCCCGTCTTTCTTGTTCTTTCAATCAATTGTCTGTCATGACCAGTTGTGTGCACCATCACCTAAGAGATAAAGTAAATGCTGAATTCTACATCCTGTCCCAACATTCTCCCCTGGACCTGCCAAAGCTGTACTTGGCAGAGTGCTTCTTTCCAGGGGCTACGAGGACCACCCAAGGCCTGAGAATTCACTCCTGTAGAAGAAGTTGTGTGGCTCTAAGGTTCACTTAGGGGTATCTGCATGCCTTCTGGTTACAGCCTCTCCTAGGTCTGGGAACCCTTTTGATAGGAGGTTAGTGAAGAAACTCTAGTAAACCAGAGCATGGCGAACCTGGCTCTGGCAGGCATTGTCCTTCTCCCCCATTCCCTCTGTCTTGCTAAAACTCATTATATTACATTCATAAAGCTATCCCTTAAGCCCATTTTTTATTTGACCACTGCATCATCCTGAGGTTGATTACCAAGGTCCAGCTATCAAAATATTGAAGTCCAACAACTAAAAGTCCCATTTGTCTCACTTAATTAAGATTTAAAACTTCATCCTAACATAAGGTTTCCCATTTTACATTTATAAACTGACATTTGTCTATGGGCTATATCTGTCTACTCTCTATCCAGAAGCAGTCATTTGTCTCCCTGGGACAGATACCTCTTCTTCTTCTTCCTTGCCCCTTTCTCCTGTCTCCCTACTCCCTTCTCCTTTTTCCTCTATCTCCTGTCCCTTATCCCATGGCTTCCATCCCTTTGGGGCAAATAAGTCTTTATGCTGAGAACTTAGTCATGTGGTGTGTTGAGCCAACTTTGAAGTTCTCTACAGTTGCCTGCCCATGGAAACTCTGGCAGGAAGGCTCAGTGGTGATGAAGTGGTGGGTTGGGGTCCTTGGTTTACTTACTTAGTATCAAATCCTTCTCTGCTTGGGCTTTGGTTTGTAACAGCTCTGGGTCCATCTGCTTCCTCCTGTTGTGGGTAGGATCCGAGACTTCTTGACCCTCATGCTGAGCTTCCTTTGAGCTACTGGCCTTCTCAGACTGAGCTGTTCCCATGTTGACAGAGCCCTCAGACAATGCTTGGCTGTGCTGCTTCATGTCTCTCTCCTGTTGCTCCAAGTATGAGGGCAGTGGGTTCTTATCCCTGCCAGACATTTCTCCTCTGGTAGTGGGTGTTTGATAAGAACTTATGGAAGAGACCTGGAAATAAAAGAGAAACAGAACAGCCTCTATAGGAACTGATTTTCCTTTTATCAGAACAACTTAAGGACTCCAGTCTCTCCTGGGGAATAGGTACTGAGTGTCCAGGTGTGGGAGGCTTGGGCTTTATGGGTGAGAGGTCCAAAAACTTAGAGTTAATTCCTGGGACTGGGGCAAAATCACCAGATCACAGTCCTTTCAGAGCAGGAGTCCAGCAGCAGCCCCCACCCAGGTAAACCTTAGGGAGTGACTGGGGTCACGTAGTGCCTAAGGAAGCCCATGGAATGTGTTAACTCCCCCTTGTTACAGCCTAACCTGAACATAACAGGGTAGTTCTGGGGATCAGGTGTCCCCCAGGTAGCTGGGCCTGACCATTTGCATCTTGGTGCCTAAAAACAAACCAATCATTTGTTTGGTTGGTTTGTTTGTCTCTCCCCTAGAGACCCTTTCACCCAATCCTGTAATGCCAAGACTTGCACTTCTCTGCTTCTGTTTTGTCCCTTTGAAAACCTTGTTCTCCTGGAGTTGGGGGTCACTTGCCCCTTTGTCTTTGTAAAGGGTGGTCACCCAGCTTGAGCTTGTAATAAAAGACCCTCAGGTGTTTTGCATTGGACTCAAAGCCTGTTGGTCATTTTGGGGACTTGCACTCTGGGTGTTACATGGGCATAAAGGGAGGAAAATTTATCAGTGGGTATGTTGTTTATAGTTTCACAGCTGGTAAACAATAAGGAAGACACTAGGGAAGATGCTTAGTCCTCATTCAGAAGGGCTAATGCAAAAGACATCAGAAGCAAGAGAAGACAGGGGACAGGACAGGAGCCTACCACAGAGGGCTTCTGAAACATTCTACTGATTGAGGTATCGAAGCAGAGGCTGAGACTCATAACCAAACTTTGGGTTTAAAGGGGCATAGGTTGGGTTGTCTTCATTTAGTAAGAGAAGAGTTTTAAATTAATCCACTGCAGTGGATCATGTGATTGCCACCATTCACTGGAGAAACCTTTGAAAACAGTTATTAGATAGGGGGCTATAAGATTAGACTGTAGATTAGAGGACCCTGTAAGCTCCTAGCTCCTAGGCAGGGTAGCCATTTTCCTAAAGTGAACCTAGTGATGGCAGTATTTATTGTGCAAGTCCTTTAAAAGACAGGGTAAAAATGAAAATATGAGACTAAGGAGAGACAGAGTGATCAAGAAGCGGAGCCAGATTAAAAGGGAACTAAAAGCCCATTCTTAGGAAGACACTTTCATTCCATCTTTTGTCTGCCCTTTAATAAAGTGTTTGGGAACTCTCAACTAGCTTGGGTTTGTTGGTGAGGAGAGGAGGGCACAGTTCCCACACTAGCAGTATGCAGGCAATCTTAGGAGAACTGCAACAGCAAAGACTTGGCTCAGTCTAGCCACAAAAGTGATAGACAGGGGTGACTGGTGAGCTGGGCATCTGGAAGATGAAAGGTGGGAAAGTGTAGAGATGGAAAAGTAAAATTATGGAAGGATGCAGGGTCAGGAACAGGACAGATGGGAGGATTAGCATATGCAAATCAAGGGAGAAGAGGCTGGATGATGGAGGAAAGGGGTGTTGGGATTACAGGGACAGGAGGATGAGAGCACAGGAAGACAGAGATGGAGGATGAAGGATGGAATGTGCACATGCATTCAGTATTCTGTGTTCCTCATCCTCCTCATTTTCTAGTGTCCCACTCTAAGGAGATCAATTCTTTAACCATTACTGTGACAGAGGGTGAGGTGGGTTAATATAGTATAGAAGGGGACTCAAGAGCCTAGTCTGTGTCCAAGCTGTCCTCTTTGAAGAAATCTCCTGTCCCTAGGTACCACACAGTGGTGACAATCTAGAGCCAACTAAGTTGGAAGAACAGTTATGGGACACTAAACTACCTCAAGACTTTTCCAGAGGTCCTAATGAAATGACAAAGGGAATTGTAATTTTGTGTTCTTGTTCAGGAGTGGACACAGCAAGGCTGGTCTAACACTGGAACCAGTGTCTCCTCATAGAGTCAAGGTTGCAGTTTCCCATGAGCCAACTCTTCCCCCTGGGCTATGGTTATCCGTCCAAGGGCAGCTGTGTGAGATATATCCCTTGTTCTCTTTGCTGACATTGTCTGACTTAGTTCTCTCTGACCATAGCTGTCTCCAGCTTAGTATCTAATAAGCCATTATGTCCCAGACTCAAATTTCTTGAAGATGAATTTCTAGCAAACAAACCTGACTCAATAACACCTACTTAGAAATGTGCAGTTGTGGCTATTTGCTTTGTTATGGTAAGAATATGACAACTGGGTTTTTGTTGCTGTTGTTTGGTTTTGGGTTTTTTTTTTTTTTTTTTTTTGGCTTTTATAACTTGCTTATGCAGACAGTGAAGGATTATTTTCAGGTCATCCTGAAATCCTGTTTAATCATGGCAAAATAGATCATTTCTTCACTTGCTTAATGTCCTTGCAGTTTTGCCTTTAAATCCCCCTCTTAACTTGATAGGCTAGGGTCAGATAGTGTGGGAGGAGGACTGCCCCTTACAGTGGATTAGGCAAGGGGCATTGGGGGAAGAAGGAGGGAGGGTGGGATCAGGAAGAAATAAGAGAGGGAGCTACAATCAGAATATGAAGTGAATAAATTATAAAAATTTAAAAAATAAAAAACTCCTCTTATTTTTTCTCTTATTGGCATGCCTTAGATTTAGCTTCAAGACTTTTGTCCTGTTAGCAGTAACAATAAATCCATTTAATTATAATTAGATTGAGTCTGTGATCTTTTTCTGATGATCTCAAGCTCTATAACATTTCTTAATAAACTTGCTTGACATAAGTCATCAGCCTATACAAGTCCTCTGGTTTTAGCTATTGCTTTCGTCTTCTTTATTTATTATCACTGGTCCTACTACTCTACACTTCACTGGTTCAAGCTGCACTAAATATGTTTACAAGTACAGGGAAAATTACCAAAAATGAGGATAGCTGTGATAAATATATATAGAGAGGGTAAGACTAATGGACACCCTCTCTCTCAAAATGCTTTCTTCCCTTCTGCATTCTAGTTCTTATAATACATCACTTAGAGAAGTTCTTTACCTTCATTCTGAAAGTCTTCCTTTGGTTCCCTAAATGGGTGTGTAAATGTAAAGATATTGGGAATGTGAAGGTGAAAGTTTAAAGACAAAATATTGTTTCTGAGAGTCACATGAGTTTCCTATTGATGAGTGTGAACTATGACATTTGGTTAGGGACTAGATTCACAGTATAAATATGATTCAATTGTAGTTCAACACCCCTATAAATCTAGTCAGTCTACTCCAAAAGAGATGGAGGAAGGGGAGACAAAAGATAATATCAGAAAGTAAAAGATAGAGATAAATGTCCCTGAGGACCAGGAACTTGACTTGGGTCAAGTCTTGAATTACTTCTGATTCATGATGCCTCAGAAGGTAAACAGGACATTTCTTCTCTTTTCTTTCCTTCAGCCTCTCATTCCTTCCCCTTCTTCTCCTCCTCCTTCTCCCTCTCCTTTCTCTTCATCATCTTTTTGTTTTTATTCCTCTTCCTCCTCCTTTGATAATACAGTTTTAAAATTACTTGAAATATCTCTGACTAGCTTAGGTAAATCACCAAATGCCCCTTCTCTTTTATCATATACAGGATTAATAAATTCCCCTCTACCTTTCATTTGCACAAGGCAGAGAATACTAAACCCCTAGAAAAAGTATTGTGGACAAAAAAGCCTGCTGGTTTTTCCTGGATTTTCATGACTGACACAGGGAATTTTGCAGCAGTTGAAACATACTGGGAGAGACCCTCCTCACTAGAGGCCTGAGAGGGAGGTACATAGACAGATGAAGAGAGGCAACCACAGGGAGGCAGGTCAGGGGAAATCCTGCAGAGGAAGGGCAAACATTAACTCAGACAACTTCATAATGACAAAAGGTCTAGAGTATTTCTCACCTTAAGCTATCTTTCTCTTCTCCTTTCACTACTGGGTTTTACCAGCTCAAATTCAGTGCTAATCAGGTGAATGAGACTCCACACTATTACAAAAAAAAAAAAAAAAAAAAAAAAGCAGCTGCTGTTGCCGAAGTTGGGTTAAAGCTGAGAAGCTGAGTCTGGAATATGGGACTTGGAACTCCCATTACAGATTCAAACATGTTTTTTTTTTTTTTCCTTG